CCCACAATATAGAAGAGTAAAACTTCATTTTGAGCTATTATGCAATTGCCTGTATATACACTATGCAAACACACACAAATCAGGACAAAAGTATTTAAAAAAATAAAATTAAAATATGATATTGTCAATGTTTGATTTTTAGTATATAATTTGGGTTTTTTTTTTCTGGTTCCAAGATAGCAAACCCCCTCCCCAAAAGGAGTAATTCTGGAGACAAGGGTAGAGACTTCCGGTGGCAAAGGTCAGGGGTCAGGGGGCGGGACTTCAGGTCCCAAGATGGTGACTAGGGGGGCAGGGCACCTGTCAAAGGGCAGGGCTACCCTTGTGGCCCTCGACAGCTCACCAAAACTCATTAAGTGGCCCTTCACCTGAAATAATTGCCTGCCCCTGCTTTACATGCAAATAGTCAGTGATCTGGAAAATTTTTATTCTGGTGCATTAATATCTACATCTCATTCCCTAAGTCATTTGCCTTTTCTTTTATGTAAAACTTCTTCTTAAGTGGAAAACCGGCCAACGTCAACCTAATGAGGAAATCGACTTTTGATCTTTGCCCTTAAAGAGTAGGGTTTTATTGTTGTTGTTTTTCATAACATCTGCTTAAGCCTCTCTTCACTTCAAACCACCTCATCACCTGTTATCAGACAAATGGTCATGGCAACTCAACAATGATTTTCCTAAATGACTGCGAGAGCTCATTTAGATTTTTAATAAACAGTCACATTCTAATGAGGTCTTCATAAAACTGACTAAATATGTTTAGAAATCATTAGCTTAAATTACCAGTGCAAAAGTCTCCTTAGGGAGCCCTGCAGATTTTGTGATAAGACTTCTGGCAGATGGATTAGTATAACAACACAAGTGAGTTTTGAATCTCCACACAAACAGTGTGAATGTGAGTGACTGGGTAACAGGCTACCAGATAAAGAGCTAAATGTCCCTCAGGTGGGTTCATTAGAGAGAGAAAACAATCAAAACACATTTCTGTGCCATTTAAATACCAGGTGCACAGCAGTCTGCAGGTGCCAGAAAAACTGACAAGGGTCCCTTGCTGGAACACACAAGAGCTTAAAGGGAAGCATGGTTTTGACAAGTATGCCTCAGATAATGACAGGTATTGGCAGATGTACCCAGACCCTGCTGGAGGGGAATGCAGGGACTGAGTCATCTGCAGCAGGTGCTTGCAGTAGGGACAACCTCTTGGTGGTTCCTCCACCCGCAATTAAAACAGTCTGGATGCAAAATGCTCCAGGGCAAAAAGCAAGTTCCTAACACTGATTTAATGACTATCCATCCATTCTTAGTAAACAAATACGCATACGCCCCCTTAATGATTAATTCATGACGGGTGCACCTTGTGTGGCAAACATGCTAAACAGGCATTCTTCTTTCCTGGAAATCTAGGGGAGTTTTCCTTGCTTTTTTTTGATTTACAATGGGTAAATGGAGTCAGAAAAAAATATAATCTCTAAACATAATATTAATAGCAGCAAAAAAAAAAAAAAAAAGCTTCAAGGTCAGGAGAAAAGGTTATCAAGACTCTGACTAAGGAGCCCATTCAAATCATCACTAATCAAGATGGTGCAGTTCTTTCTGCTAGGTGTTGAAGGACAGATGGCATGTTTATTCTGTAACTCCTTGGTGTCAATGGTCCTGTCATTGGTAAGAGGGAATATGTGCAGTTTGACAGACGAAAGGCCCGACAGGGGCTTAATTGCACTGCTTTGTGATTCACAACCTTGTTGTTATAGAAAAGTATTTTTATTTTTGTGTTAAAAAACAATATTATGGCTCTCATTTCCTAGATATAAATCACTGGAAAAGTGAGGCTAAATCCAATTTTTGTTGCTGTCAAGAGCTACATGTTGCAGCTTTGTATTGCTAGGTGGACTGTTATGCTGCACAAAAGATTTATATGAAGATATGAAGGAGAAACCATGGTGTCATTTCTTTTTCCCCATCCTTGCGATTTTACCCATTCTAGAAATACAATAGGACCCCTCCAGTAGAAGCTGCCAAGGGGATGTAGTGTGTCAGAAAGACTACAGTGAATAAGACTGGGACCAAAAACCTTATTTCTCTTCTGGATTAAATTTGATAGGCCACTTTAATTTATGCTTCTGAATACTGACAGTATAACAACAGGAAGATGTTTCATATAATAAACTATTCTTGCTCCTAAGGCAGTGGGAAAATTGTTTAACAGTCCCTTTAAAATGTCCCTTTTAAAGATATCTACATAAAGCTCCAATGAAATAAATGCAGTACAGAATTTACTATTATAGCAAAGGTATTTGTTTTGAATTTAAGTGTTAAATAGTTTCTGCTCTGCATTTCCCTCAAGGGTCTACCTTTTTGCCCTGTAATTAGTTTTACCTGTGTTTTTGTACCTGGCATTAATTATAGTCACAAATCACATCTTTTGAGACCTAGCTACAATATTAGTGCCTGATTTATGGGTAGATTCACATGGTTAGATGTCAACATGCTAGGATTTACACAAACAATTAAGTGTAAGCACAGAATCCAGGTCCAATAAATTGAGACTATAAATTGAATTTGTGAAGAAGGAAGCGAGATCTGACAATCTGACTCAGAGTACTCCTTGTACCTAAACCATGATCTCCCAATAATGCAAACATCTGTTTTCAGGAAAAAGCAACAACCACTCCATTACCAAGAAATTAAAAACATGCATTTCACTTGATACCAAAATATGGGTGCTGTCTACACCTAGTTCAACAACTAATGAAAATGTTGAATTTAGAGGAGTTGGCCATTCTGCTTATTTCAGTTTTTTTTCAAATGAGAATAAGGGTTAGGTGGCCAAGTCCTCCTGAATTTTCCTTAGAAAACAACAGCCAGGATTGCTGATGATGGTGCACAGCAAAGCTGTACTGGTGGGTATAAAAAGGAAATAGCTCCTTGGATACATACTGACAATAAAACTGCAATTATATGACAGAGAGACTTTCTTTAGAGATAACCTATATGTTTAGTATCAACTGGCTAACCCCACTTTTTCATTATAAGATAATTACTGAAGAAAACCTCCTGGTTAAGACAATGATTTTATATTTTGATTTCAGTGTTCATCTGAGTTAATCTACTTGTTCAACTTATAGCCTGTAGGCCAAGACATTATCATCTTATTATTCCTGCATCTGAGAAAAGTCATAGGTAGGCCGGCCACTCTTGAATGCTCAGATAGCCACAGGTCATTGTCCTGGACACATAATTATATCAGCTACTAGTTAGAAGGCAAATCATGTCTTAAGGGGGAGCTGGGAGGGAAGATAGATTTGGACTAATGTACCATGGTACTGTACACTCCTGTTTTGAAATCAATTCTAAAATCTTTCAGATTACATTTGTGGCATGTCAAAGTGACCTATCAAACTTAATCTGAAAGATTACCATGTAGATTGCTCCAAAGTGATCTCCTTGATACGTATATTGTTACATTGCATCCTCTGTTATTCAAACCTGTTTGATGCACCTGCTGAAAATCCACTCGGCTGCTGAATTCATTTGGAAAAACTGAACAGCTACTAGCTACCATATTAAAGAGATATAGTATTGTGTTAACTAAAGCTTAAAAGAGAAGTTTGCTATACAATACCAACAATTACAAGGTACAGTATTGTATCAAAATTAGTAGTAGAGGTACAGATAAAGAGAACAGATTACTTCACAGTACCAATAGTTACAAGTTAATAAGAAAAATGCTGCTGTTTGGACAACCAGGGTTTGGATAATCAAGAATGTATTGCACTCTTAATAAGGCACTGATAAAGTTATGATATTCATCTTTGTTGGCTGTGCTAAATGTAGTAGCAGTTTTATCAGTTCCTTTTCTGCATTGTACTAACAATATCAAAGCTGAGCATTCAAGCCATGTTTAAAAATAATTAATAATGCACCTTTCAGCAGAAACATAATAAATATTTTATGCTCTATATTCACTGCAATAGCATCTTGTTGGTTGGTTATTTAATATCTAAAGGCAAACAAAAAGATGAAAGACTTGAGATAAATACAAAAATTACTTACCCTTCCTACTTCCACTAGATTAGTAACCATGACTATACTGGCTGTGTTTTCATGCCAAACCATTCTCCAGAAGTCATATATCGTCTCCTGCATTGGCCCTGAAACAATATATCAAAAGAAAGGTTACTTTCTGAAAATGTTGAAATTGAAAGCTTGTCTCTAGGGAATTTTGAAAGACTATGTCTATATAAATGAGTATCATTATTGTCATGTATTTAATCTTGGTTGAGTTTCTTTCTTGTCATCCAACCTGTCCTCATTTAGATTTTTTTTAAGTAGCACTCTGAAAAAAAGTTGATCCACATTTATATATTTATCTTTGTAATACCCAGAAGTGAAATTATGAAAATGGATAACATTAGTCTTTCTGCTAGCAATTGGATGATATCCTGGGGAAACCGTACATAGAATAAAATGAGCCTCAATGGCCTATGTGGCCTTTTCTGGATTCTAATATTTTTCTTAGCATGAGCTACCTGTCAAATTAGTCAAATTCCTAAATTGTACTTCCTGAAGTGAGACAGAAGTTCTGATTTTTTTTTGCTGCAGTATATCATTTTTTAAAGTAGTGCAGGAAACAGTAAAGAACCCTGGCATGACATTACAATGGTCTTCTCTGCAGCACTTATCAAAAGGAATGACCCTGAAAAACTGCATTTCGGGATTCATAAACCTGCACTCTCAGGGCTTCATGCAGCATTGTGCTAAAACAGGCCTGCTCCATGTCAGCCCAGTAAATATTAATGACAGAAATGTAAAATCCTAAAAAAACCCATGTCCCTAATTTTGCACATACCTACATCCTTGTGTTCAGCCTACCATTCCAACTTCTGAATTTGAAACCACACTAGGTCAGCAAAACTAAACAGTCATAAACTACTATCAATTACAAAAGTACCTAGATTCCACAGTGAATCACAGTGAATTACCAAATCTCCACACTGCAGAAAGCAATTAGTTGCTTATTCAGGAGAATGCCATTAATCTATTCATTTGGGGACAAATGGATTAATTTATCAACCTAACCTCTCCAATAAAGAGAGACCTACACACTTGAAGCATTAATAAAACTCTTTATTTATTTAATTTTAAATTAGGGCTGTCTGCAATGGATAAAAAGTTTTGGTATTTTGGGGGTCCTTTTGATAGTGTTATCATTCGACTCTCAGAATCAGAACATTTAATGAATAAAATAATAATACTTTTATAGCCATGTAAAACCCCATACTGTTCTGCTAAACACATCTCCATAATGTAACAAGCTGCAATATGTTGGGAAAGGACACCATCAACTTAAAAATATAAATTCTCTGTATTTTTAAATATAAAGTTATATGAATCATTTAAACATACTACGATTATTTGCTGTCACGTACATACATTATTTTTAAATGTTTTCACTTTTGCCTCCTGTCCCACCACCCCATTTTTCTACATTCATAGTTCTATATGATATATACAGTCAGTTTTACTGTTTCCCTTAGAATCAGCCAGTTTTCCCTCTGCTTTTGGTGGTGTTTCACATAGCATTACGGGAGAAAAAGGCATTTAAAGAAATAGGAAAATATGATTATAGGACCCCCCCAAAGTTGGCAGGAGGTCTCAGGGCAGGCATAGTAACATAATCTACCTTCTAATTCAGTTTTGAAATGTGACAGATTTTGAGCTGACAGTGTGACTTTAAAATCTGAGTCCATGTTTTTAATTTAAAACGCAGAACATCTGATACTTTTGAGAGAGATTAGGCTTTCAAGCATGACAGGCTAGAGTAATTTCTCACAATTTGGAATCCTAAACTGACTATCGCACTGTATCTAAGTCTCCTATATATTTTATACAAAACTGATCTGCACTCAATTTTCTTGTGCTCCATTGGGATATCGTGCATTATGGGTGAATTGTTGGTTTCTTCTATTTTCAAATCATTATGTAAGATTCAGTGCAGCTTTCCAGACATTAAAAGCCAGAATATGATGGACCTAATTCTGAGTCCCTCTTTGCATGACTAGTCTGGGGGAATATGACCCTGAATCTTCTCTAAAGGGGCAACTGAGAATATCCAGGGCATATTATAGCTGGCCAGGCTTAAGGAATGGGTTGAACTGGAGAATAATGGCTACCCATCAAAATGGCCTGCTGGCTGGTACCAAGGGTACTGTTGAACACATGGTAAATTAGAGCAGTCCTGCCATTGCTACAACTTGTGCTTTGCGTCAGTTCAGTTTCTGAGCTCTACACCACTCCAGTCTGGGGAGAGCAAACAGGTGACACTCCATTTCCATCAGCTGCACTAAGCATATGATCAACTCACCTAAGGATCAAACCCATAGTCATTAGAGCATAAAACCACTGAATAATGGGACAGACAACCAGCATTTGGCTCCTGTTCCCTACCTACCCTAATTCCTGTTAATTTAAAATTTACAACTTTAAATGAAGAATGCCATGCAACACAATTTTAGTTATGGAGCTCTGCTAGAGTATCTCCATCAGATGAAGTCTGTAGTAACATAAAACAGAACAGATCTAGTCTTAGCTTTACGTAGCAATAATTAATCTACCACCACCGTGATCTTTTACCACTGTTTCTAAAGGAAAACTCTCTCAGGCAGCTCTAAGGGCTGGAAAAAGGGTTCAAGAGCTCTAATCTTGGCCTAACACCAGAGGCTTATGAGGTCCTGGATCAGTCATTAACTTTTTGATCTGTCAGTTCCCCACTTGTACAATGGATATGTTAATGTTCTCTTACATGACCATGTTGCCATTTGCTCTAGTTGCTGTTTGTAAAATACCTTGAAGGCAGAAGTGTTAAGGAGATTTGGACTGTTGCTATTGAAATAATAGAACTTGACTGATTCCCACAAAGGTGGGGTACCTCACCTAGACTGTGGTGCTCCCTTCTTTTAACACCAGCAAAGCAAAAGGAGCAGTTAAGGTGGGACAAGCTGGAGAGGCAGGGAAAGGAAGGATAACACCTCTATATGATGCTGGCTCTTGAACCAAAGTAAATGTTCAGCAGAAATACCATTTGTGGCAGCCCATGGGAATGCAGTTGCTGACAGAATCAGGGAGAGGCCACTTCTTGTGGGACAATCAGAATTCCCTGCAAGGGAATCTGGAGAGATCACAATATAGTTTTAATATTTCATATTTCCCCAATTTGATTCCAGGCAAAACGAAACCTTGATATACAGCAGCTTTATTACAATTAGAAACACCAATTAGCACTAAGGCTTGATAGTAGAGAAGAAAATGGCCTCACTGTTTGAGAACCAACTATGATGTTGATGGGATGTTCCATGGCTGTGTAGAGGTTTACCATCTCAATGTCGCTATTAGGATCTGTGGGACTGGAGAACCCCTCTCTAAAAGACCCTGTTTGCTTCCACTTCCACAAGGGTATTTTAGAGTAATTTCTCTCTCCTTACAGAATAATCTGAGAGAGAGGACAGCTGGTTTGTAAATCATAGAAGTGGCTTATTGACCATTATGGATTCTTTGCACCTATCTGTTCTTAGCTTGAAACTTTTCCACAGTAAATGGAATCTGTCCTATGGTTTAGAAATTCCTATGCTAAAATCCCTAACCATACCGGGGAACAGAACCTAAATACCAGTTTCTTCTTCCTGGTCTTTAGGAGGAGGAAAATAAAGGAGCAGAGGAAATGAGGACAAAAAACATTCTTAGAAAAAGAATCCTGGTGACCACTACTATGGCTTTAGCAGATGCTGAACTTGGTCAAATTTTTAAACTTTCCTCCAAACAGAATTCATCAGTTTGTTTCCCCCATGTGCTGTTCGCAAGCTGTATTAGCTTAGATTTCCCTCATATTCTTCTCAGAATCAGCAGTGGAAGAAACACCCTTTCCTGCAGTCAGGTATGCTTTTGTCACCTTCCCTTGATGCATTAAGACAATAATAATTAAAAATATCTTGTGCTAGGGGAAGTGGTGATCGCTGATTATTAGAAGTGCTTTCTTATTTCATTTGTCCAATCCCTATACCTAGCCTCCAAACTTCTTTCAGATTCAGGACACTGCAGAAAAAAAAAAATCCTAGCTTAAAGTCTCCGAAAGTAATTTTTTTCTAGCCCATTTTTCTTTTCTTCTTGACATTTTTCAAATTATTTTCTGACATCTGAATAAATTATTACTCTGTCACTTGTCTCCAGACAGAATTGAAAAGCATTAGAGGCCAGGTAGGGGTGTAAAATTTATTGTCATCAAGAGCTGCACAATATGATTCTGGAGAGCCATGGCCAGATGAAAAAGAGCTGATAATTGTTATAAGCCTGAAGTTTAGAGATGTTTGCACAACAGGCAAGAAGGGTACTCTCGGCAGTTGCCCCTTGTGGGAGTAAAAGGTCTGAAGAGAAGGTATTATACTTCTGTAAGACTAAGCCTGTAGCATACTCCATTAACTATATAATATAGTACTTGGTATCAAAGATCTCTGCTGTGAAGAAAATCAAGACCTGAGCTCATGCTTGCTGTAAAGGTGCAAAGTAAAGTAAGGAAAAATCCCCACTTACATGCATTAATGAAGAAAACTCAATGACATGGTCAGCTGTGTGGTTATAACCTACATTTTATGAATTAAAAACTATTAATGGTACAGTTAGATACCCTCATCACATTTTACGGGGTGAAATTCATGCAACTTAAAAAAAAAAGTTTAAACCTTAACCTGTACATAGAGGCTTTTTCCACAACCTACTCCCCGTTCTTGGTATCAAATGACCCAATACCCGTACTTGATATTTTTCAGTCAGGCAAACAGTTAAACTGACCTCCTGATATGTGGTACCTTTGCTGTGGTCAGCAAAGAAACAAAGTGTAAAAAGAAACCAATCTCAAGTTGCACGGACCAAAAAAGCAAATGGAGCCAGAGAGCTTAAAAGTATGGTATGAATACAACACTGGTGTTTCAGGCTTGTCATGTATGGTATTCCTACTCAATGGAGCACTGAGCTGCACTGTTTGCACGTGGATATTTAATTCAGAGGATTTGGACTTGGGGATGTGGCCTGTTATAAAGGGCCAGCTGCAAAATCTGAAACTCTTTTAAAAACTTTTTTGAAGCCCAGAACCAGAAACTTT